TCATTATCTGTTTACTTTAAAATTATGGAATATTCTGTGTTAATCCATATTAAAAATTGTATTAATTATTTTATGTCTATGGTTATGATTTGACAAAATGTGTTGAAGTCCAGGGGTGTTAATGCATTTGCAAAGTACTGTAAAATAAAGCCAAAGGAATTGTTTGAGACAGTCATCTGAGAGAGGGATTATTAAAGCCCACGTGTTAGAACAGAATAATGACTTGCATATCAAACAAAGTAGACAGTTGAGCACAGTCTTCCCTATGATTCGACACAAAAGACCTTCAACCTTCTCATCTCTGAGTTTACACAGTGGACACTGTTTGACTGAACGCCCCCTCAGTCCGCCGGTAAATAAAACATGTGATTCACTGCTGCTCTTTTCTGTTACTGCTCTGGCCATTTAGCCTTGCATCACCACAGCAACCAGTGCAGTCGATGGGCGTGAAGCTTCAAAATAAAGTTCTGACTTTCAAAGCTGCAGAATATTTCTTGTAGTGGAAATGGTTATTAATTTCTGAAACAATCAAAGTATCCTTTCATATCACACACAAGGGTGGCAAAGTCAAGAAGGACTCATTTCAGCATTGTATGACTTCATATACTGACTTGCTCACTTTCAGCGTAAGTCTATTGAGTTTGATCTGCTGCCCCTCACTTGAAGCTGTCTGTACCTTTTTGCACATCTCTGGTTTTGTCAAAGGAGCATGGCAATAAACAAAGCTTCTTAGTATCCAATGTTTTTTAAGGTTGCATTGTGAAGATAAAGAGCAGCCATGTACAGAGACATAGGCATACCACAGTATAGTTTGTGGTACAGTAGTTTCTAAGTGGAAAGTATATGCTGTAGCTTTAACATCATATGCATTTTCTAACTGATGTTATTCAGTCTCCCTTTTGAAAGCAGGTAGGCAGAAAATAGGCGGGTGAATGATTAAGTGCTACTAGAATGTGATGAAGCTGCAAAAAATAGGTAAACAATAAGATGTTGCTGATGTAAGTATGAAAGAGGGAACACAGAAACTGCATTTACGCTGAGCAATAATGCATATCTGCTCAGTCTTTCTCTTACTGAATACCTTTCGGCAAACATGATGTTTTTTAGGTTTCAGCCTCGTCAGTCACTTTTGATATCGAATTCAATGTGCTGTTTGTCAAAAGGCTGAAAGCATGATTTTTTGTTTTTGTTTGCAGAGCTGTCTTTGATGGGCTGTCTGGCATTCTCTGCACACCCTTCCATCTAAGAAGTATTGTGTATGAGGGTTACATATTTCCTGATAAGTCTTAATGGAAAGCAGCAATGTCGTTTTGCATAATCATCACCTGATGTGGAACAAAACAGTTTTAATTTGTTTTGACTCAGGGAGATATTCTACATGAATAAAGAACAACTCTAAGTTGTTCTTTCTTGTAAATCTTTGTATTTTAATGTTCTCTACTTGATTCATTAGTTCTAATTATTGCCAGCAATGAGGCTTTTACAGTCTTTTTCTTTAAACTTGAAGGAAAAAAGCCTGGCAGAAATATATCTAATATTTATATTCTTTCCCTGTTGTGGAATTTAAGCCCCCGTTTATTTTCTTAATTGATGCTTTTCAGTCCAGAACAATGGTGTTACAATAGTAACCATTATTTATTTATTTATTTATTTATTTATTTATTTATTTATTTATTTATTTATTTATTTGTGTTTTGTCTGTGTGCTCTTATAATATAATTTTAGAAATTATAATCTTATAGATGAAGATTTTATAGTGAAGATTTTATAGGTAAATACTCATGTCTTAAAACGTTTGTTGTGATCATTACCTCTATCTTTAGTCTCTAAATGCAGGCAGAGAAAGGCATGCAAAAGTGTAAACAAGATGTTCATCCCAAGACTGTTGAAAAATATGTTCAGGTGACATTTGATTCAACACAATTGAACATACTAATGATTACTCTGAAGACTGCACTCTCAACACTGTTCAAATGCATTTTCTGCAAGGATAAAAGGTTTTAAAACTGAAATGCCTGTCAAAAGCATGTCTCTTTAAATAATGATGTTTTGGTCTGCTAAGAATTGTTCAGCACGTCTGAGACCTTCAACAAATACTTTGGCTCCAGACAGTGATATTCTTATTTTGAAGCAAAGTCTCTTTCAATGAAAAAATTATTTTTTGAGAAAATAGCAGAGTCTATTTTTTCTATCTCATGCAGATCTGACAAAACCCCTGTTTTGAGTAAGAACTGACTAAAAGCGATACAAATTTAGTAAAGAGATGGTTTAGAGAGCAAGAGATTGACCTTTACACATAGACTTTGATAAGGTTAGTTCGTTAAAAGATAATGAAACCAGGGTGATGATTCGCCAACCTTTTCAACAGTGTTTTTAAGTATCTATAGTTCATGTTTTCTTTTGAGTAATCATAGTATATTTATATTGAAATGAGAGTTTATTCATTAATGATGCTGTCGTTTCTATGTTTTCCTGACCAACATGCAGATCTTATAGCATGGAAAAGGTATTTGTACCCTAAAACCAATACATGGGTACTACAGTATCATTAATGATAAACTGAGATTGGAGAATCAAGTGGATGCTCTCTGCACAAAAACTCACCAGCACATGTATTTGTATTGAAAGTTTAGCAATTAATAACAATAATCATAAATTGTAATAATAATAATAATTGGTGGAATCCATCTTCAAAAAATATAAAACACATTGCTAATACATGTGCAAAAATCGTAGGAACATCCCTGAATGATCTACAGGACATCTACAAGGCCAAGATGTTAAAAAGGCATACAAGATGTCCTCTGACCCATGCCACTCTCTGTGGGAGGAGTTCAAACTACGCCCATCAAACGACCCCCTTTTGTCCCTAAATGCAGGACAAGGAGACACAAGAACTCTTTTATTTCTGTCGCTGTTACAATTCTTAATCGGTCACTGTAGTATTTCACTTACTGTTCTCTATCTGTGTGTTGTGCAATGTTTTTATGCTGCTGTTTGACAAATTGCCCCTCTGGGATAATAAAGACTCTTGAACCTTGAACCTTAAACTACACAATCAACTATTGTGTAGTTTATTCACAATACAGGAGGTGCAGCTGTTGAGATAAAGATCTAAACCAGTTGTCCGAAACTCTTCAGAGCAGTTTTTTCAGTTTTAGGTGTATCTCTTTCCCTATACACCTTAATGAAATGGCTAAATACCTTTCTGACATACAGTCAGAGATCTAGAAGGAGTTTGAGACCACTGATACAGACTCTTTGATAGAGTGAATAGAATATAGAGAAAAAAAATTAGACAGAACCACTTAATCAAATGAGATTGATTGGATACTGTTATTGGTTAAGGCCTAGATAAATGGAAGCTTAAAATATATAAAACTTAAAAACAATTTTTTGGGCTTCCATTACATGAAAAATAGAAAAATAAATAAATTTGGCTGTACCTTAACGAAGCATAGTCCTTCAACCATTTTGAAATTCTGAAAAAAATGTATTTAAGTTGTTTTGAGTACTGTGGGTTGTGTATCAACCCTTCAAGAAAAAAAAAAGTAAGTAAAGTTTTTAAAACATCCAATAATGGAAATCTGAAAAGCCCAGCATTGCATTGAAATATTGTACTGCACTTCTAAAAATCCAGTCCAATCAACAATCTTCAGAGGACAGATAAAAGGTAAATATTTTGTAGAATATTTTCTCATTAAATTTCAGTAATACCTAGAGCTTTTCTGTGACGGCTTCAGATTGTTTTAGTTAAAGGCTAATAAAAAAAAGCATCATGCAAATAAAGAAAAACAGCTGGGAAGATCTGTAAAATTTGATGATACCATTTTCTATTATCTACAGAGGAAAAGGGGGCAGACAAGCAGCAAAGGTCCTGAATTTAGGAAGCAATCTCTAAATAGCTCTTTGCAGACAATAAAAATTGGATCAGGGTGTAGAAAAGTTATCAAGGTTTGGAATTGTAACAAAACAATATTTTATGAAATATTACAAATGCATCCCGGTAAAGCAATGGCAGAGAAATAAACACATAACTCCACTTAAGGTGGGAGGAACTGATCAGCAATAAGTCTTGCACTCCACAAGTTTAATAATTATTAATAGCAATAAAAAAAACATTCAAATTAAGCATAGTTGCGATAGAATCTAGCTTTGGAAGGTTTTTTTTTTGTTTTTGTTTTTTACAAAATGGAATGGGAAAATGTTTAGATTCGATGTTAAAAGTGGTTAAGGACAGAAAATCTTTTAGCAGCTGCATAAGACTTCACCCAGGAGTCGATCCACACCTTTGAGCAGAACTAAAACCCCAAACATGCAGTTAGAGCTGGAAAGGAATGCCTAATATCAAAGCATCTGCATGCAGTAGAAGGGCCTCAATGGTCTCTGCATCACAACTAGGACACATTTATCATTTCTGTTTCTATGTTTAACACCCCTCAGTTAATTTCGTCAATCTTATTGTGGTCAATTTGATTTATCAGGTTATTTGGAAGACAGGAAAAGAAAAAGATATATAAACTAAAATACTTATACACTGATAGAAATCTAAGAAAGAAATCAAAGACAACCTTATGTCTAAGTAAAGTATAAAGTCTTACCCATGCTTCAATGTCAAAACTGTTCTTGTTGCATCATCTTGTTGAATCTATCACCAGAAACTATGTAGTGTTTGGTAAATAAACAAATCCTAAAGGTCACTTAAAATTCGTTCTTTATTCAATAGTTATTAATAGTTACTGTGTAAATTGATATAATCTATCTATCTATCTATCTATCTATCTATCTATCTATCTATCTATCTATCTATCTATCTATCTATCTATCTATCTATCTATCTNTCTATCTATCTATCTATCTATCTATCTATCTATCTATCTATCTATCTATCTATCTATCTATCTATCTATCTATCTATCTATCTATCTATCTTTCTTTACATTATCAAAGAACAGCATTTTTTATTTATATTCCTTTATTTAAAACATACAGTTGGTATACATTTCACTTTTGTTATGGTTTGACTTAACAACAATATCCATTTATTTTATTGTTTCTCTATGCTGATCAACCACCTTGTCTCTGTTTCTCACCCACAGATAGGAACCTTTGTTCACAATCTTAGAGTGTACCAAAAACAGCAAGAATAGCAGAATAATTTCCCCAGTGCATTCTTTCCTAGTGACCCCCTCTTGTCTTTCATTATTCTCTTTTTCTGTGCGAATCCAAAAGCAACCCAGCTGGATCCAATTCAGACTCACAGTACTTGAAATAACAGGTATTATTTACGAAACAATCTTCTCTTCTGAAGGAAAACTCATCTTGTTACTCTGAGTTTACTTTTGCAGACTATGCTTTCCACTCTCTTTCTTGTAAATCTAAATCCAATGCCTGTATTTTTAAGAAAACATTAAAAAGTCATTTTAAACCTTTTGCAGAAAGAGAGGAGTAGCAGGTGCACGTTTCCCTCTGTTCAATCTAACCGTCGGATGCAAACCAAATTGTTTTAGAAGACCGCTGCATCTATCTGTCTTAGTGGGTGTCCCGATGAGCATTGTAAGCTTGTGACTGACGCTCCAGGACAACGGACGGCTCATAGAGCAGATCGTCCTCTCCAAGTGTGGAGCTTTGATCCAAGTTCACAAAGTTTGGGATGTTAAAGTGAGACATGAAAGCACACTCTCTGTCTGTCATACTATTCTCAGTTAGACCATTCAGAGGTTGGTGTCCTCCACTTTCTTCATTGTCCTCATCCATCTCATCTATCTCAGAGGAGCACAAATGTCTTCCAGCTATAACTTTTGTAGATCTCTTTTTGTCTTCTGGTTTCTGTTTCTCCTGGGCTTGGTCTTCCTCACTGATGTAGAAATTAAAATATGAACGTGAGCCTTCCAACAGTGGGCGGGAGAAAGCTTTGTCGTTCTCCTCCAGGTGGCCATTAATCTCTACCAGTCGTCCCTCTGGTCGCTGATGCTTTTCAACCGAGTCTGGGTTTCTGTTAGAACAATCAAAGAATTATTGAGTGACTTTACAATAGAGAATTTGTTTTAAAGAGATGCCATTAGCAGTTAAAATGACTCAAACATCTGTTTATTTCCCTTTTGTTTGTTTAAATGATGATTTGTCAATGCTCGGAGCAGTTTTCTAAGCATATGACAGAAGGGAGAAATGGTTGTTTTTTATTTGCTGCTGAGTAATAAATAGTCTGCTTTGTTTTAGGTTATCAATGGTTCTTTAGACATTCCTTTACAAAAGAGATTAAGTGAAAATACAGTCTCAAAGACTATAATCACCTGTACCACCTGCAATGTCCCTTGTTCAGCTCCAGCCAATCAACTAGGGGCCACACCTTCTCCGAAGCCAATCATCTTTTAATATCCCTTACATTTAGCTCATGGCCTAGCTTCGTTTTCCTTCCAAGCAAATGTTGATTCACATAATCAAAGTCTTCTAAGTATCAAATATTCTATTTCATTTATATCTTTATCTGCTTCCATCTCCTCAAACCTCAGTCAGCCGTGACAGATGGCTGCTCACACTGACCCTGGATCTGCTGGAGGTTTCTATGTGCTAAAATGGAGATTTCCTCTCCACTGTCGCTACATGCATGCTCAGTGCAAGGGATTGCAGAGTCAATGAGTCCTCGTCATCAGCTGGTTTTATTTAGATAGAAATATTTTGAAGAGTAGGATTGTGTTACCTGTAAAAATAAATTGAAAAACACTTTTCTAATTGCAGCTTTTCTCTGTGTGAGTCTCTCCAGGTTCAATTCCTTATTGCTTGACATGAGAAAGCATTTTTCACAAAAACCTTTTTAGAAATTTTGGCCATGGCATGTTTTGAAAAATGTCTACCTTTCATTCATGCAAAATTGTTGGTTGTCTGATTATTTATTTTAAAACAAAGGCAGGTGGGAAGTTTATTCTTCAGACTTTGTAATTTCCAATTCGGTAATCAAAGACTTGCTTTTTTTCTCATGCTGGGTGTCTACCCTACCATAGACTATTGGAGACAGGCACCAGCTCCACCGTGACCCTGACGGATAAGCGGAGATAGATGGATGGATGGAAAACCAAATGTCTTCTAGGAACTAAAATTAATTGGAGAAAATGGTTTATACACACCCCACCAGGGGTTCTTGCAGTGTTTCTCTGAGCAAGCCACTGTTTTAATCACGATGAAGCAGCCAAAACATGACTACATTTGAAACCAGCTCCCGGAGTGTACATTTTGCACCCTACGGTGTTTATAAACTGACGTGTTTTGGCATACGAACCAACACAGCCCTCCTGACCCTTAACACGCATGCACTGACACAAACATCATTAGAGGACTTTAATGTTTCTCTGTTTTACAATCTCTTTTAGAAACTAATGATTTTAATTTGGATTTCACACGTAAGATTTGTTGCTCTTGCATCGTTGGTTCACATAAAAGCCCCTTTTTGTTCTCTTCTGTGTTAAGTTTTTGCATCCTACTTCTTCCTTGATTCTACCTTCCTGGCCTGTTTGGGAGCCATAGCACACACCCATTGGCATTGGGTTCTCTTTACAAGTATACCCCTTTCTCATTGGCTGAAAAACCCGGGAACAATAGACTTTTAATGGCAGTGGGAACAGCTCAATGACCAGCTTCAACCCATGTGAAGCGACTAAGCAACAACCCAGGATAAACTCGCCTTCAAACGGCTCCGCTCTGTTAGGCATATAGTGGGAGCATGCTCACATCCGATAAACATGCCGCAGTAAAGAAGGGAGATTCAGACGGACAAAAGAACGAAACACACTTCGTTCCATGTTGCTCTCCATTGTTTACCTTCCTTATTTCAGTCAAACTGGTGATATCATTAACGCTAAACAAGGGTGATGGCGTCACCAGACACGCAGCAATAAGGGCAGAGAGGCCTTGCAGCTGTCCATTGGGGGGTCAGACCCAGAAGGGTTCCAAATGGTGATTGTTAGCCTCTCAACCGTGTTTGAAAAACCCTTGTTAACCCGCTAACATCAGTGGGATAGAAGCTTTAGACAGGGCCCACACTAAATGAGGTCCAGCTGCGGTGGGGGCACTGCAAGGAATCCAAATCGTTGAAATTAATGCTTGCACAGGTCTTAGCCATGGTGGAGGGCAGTTGAAGTTACCAAAGCCGTGCTGATCAATGAAATGATCCACAAGAGGGAAGTTTAGACACACAGTGGACTACCCAACAAGTTCTTGAATCTTACAAGCCAAACAGGAAGAGTCGGGCACCAGAAAGAAAAAAAAAAAAAAAACATCCTGGAGAATTTCAGAATAAAATGAAAGCATTAACTTATGGTAACTTGACTAGCAAAAACCAAAAGGCATAACAGAAACACGTGAAAACTTTTTTAATTACCTATTAGAGTTGGTGTGGGTATAGCCATAGTCATTCATCAATTCACCCAAATTCAGACACAAATAGTGGTGAGCTACATTGTAGCCACAGGTGCCCTGGGGCACAATGAAAGCAGCAGAGCTGCTCTACATAGTTGACCTCTGGTTGTAAGACAGACTGCTGCCCCCTAGTGTAAATGTAGCCGGACTGCATCAATGTGTTGCATTTTGCGCTTCCCAAAATGTTTCCCCAAACGCTATCAAATGCTGTACACGTCTTCATGTTATTTGGCAGTAATGCCAAGAAAACTACACACCAGCACCAGGTCAATAACCTGAAAAGAGCTGGGACCGCAGGCTCATTAATAACACTAAGGCCATTAATAACACTATGCCACTGTGGATTGAAATCCTGCAGCCAATGCAAGGTCTCCTTGCTGAAGTCAGCATATGTCCAGGCCCATATGTAATTTGTTGATGACCACCTGGATGATTCAGTGAAGTACTGGAAGATAGCCATGTGCTCTGATTAGAGAAAAAAAAGGAACTCCAATCATCATGTTTAGAAGAGGAAGGATAAGTACAACCACAACAATACCATCCCAACCATGAAGCATTTAGGGGGATAGCATTCATTGGGGATCTTTTTTCTGTAAAGGGACTGGGACAAATGCACCACATTGAAGCGAGGACAGATGGGGCCATGTATAAGGAGATTTTGGTAAGAAAATGACTGAAATCACAAAGGGATTTAAATATGTGTCAGGGCTGGGCCTTCAAGCACACAGCCAGGACAACTAAGTAGTACCTCTATAAAGCCGGGCTTACACTGTGCGACTTTCCAGTCGTGGGAGAATTTTCCGATCAGGCCGACTTTCCGCCTGATCGTGCGTTGTGTAGTGTACAGGGGATAACGAGGGGTGATCAGCCTCGAATGACCACCTCGTGGTTGTGACGGCGGGAGAAAATCAAAAATGTTTTACCGTTTCTTCTTCTTCTCAAATGTAAACACAGAAGCATAGCAGGGGTGCGAGTGAAATGGAGATCTTTGTGTAAAATCGACAGACCATAGTAGCCATGTTTGCTCAGCCATGTCTTTGTCCAAATATGTCGTCGCCTTTTCTTTTTAGGGCTTTCAGCACGAAATTGCACAATTTGCCAAGGCAGCACGGTTCACTCTAGTGAGCTTCATATTCCTCATTTTGCTTCTGGATAGACGAGTCAGAGTAGCTCCATCAAACGGCAGAGCTGAGTCCGACGTGGTTTTTAGACATACAGTGTGAGCAGGTAGATCACATCAGAGCATTGTGCTGTACATATATCGTAAACTCAGACTGTAGGACGAAACCCTACGGTTTCGTCCTACAGTGTGCAGTGCTCTGGAGAAGTATCTGTATAGAGGAGTGGGCCAATATCCCTGTTGCAATATTTGTAAAGGAAAGGTCAGGTCAAATTCAGAATTCAAACTTCTGAAAGTACTTTAAACATAAAAAGATTACATACTGCTCAATAAATGCTAAGTGTTTTTTATTTTTTAATTAAGAGTAATTATTAATTTTAACTTCTGCCACCAACTGGTTTTTGAAATCATGGTGCAGTATCAGCTGTTAAGCAAGTCCCAATGCTGTATCTGGTGTTTGTCACTACGCAATATTATTCAAGTCATCCTGAAAACATTCTTCTTAGAAAAGTTGGCTACATATTTCATGTTTTTTCTCTGGCCAGAAGTTTGATGGCAAATCCTCCCTCTTCAAGTAGGTAATCCAACAACAAACTCGCGGTGGAAAGGTGAAATAACCAATTTTTTTTCTTTTACACAATGTATTGCAACATCCAACTGCTGTGCACGTGGGCCTTGTCAGTTTAACTATAGCTCTCGCGAATTTCAATGGTGAAGTCCTCTCTAAATCTAAAATATTTTTTGCTGATTGCAGGCGTGTATAATAGTTCCCATTGATTTTGCTGGTGACGTGGGGAGAATGGAGATTGACCTAGCACACTGTGACGTCACTGCCGGAAGATGTCAGGAGTGAGGTGTTACTCTATTTGGGCATAAAAGGTCGCTCCCAGACTCAGTGATCGCAACGAAAACTTTTATTTTAATTTTTTACTGATTAACGACAAATTCATTGAATCACGAATGTATTTGTTTTAGGTATAGATAATGATTCATTCATTAAAGCCTGAAGTGACCCAAACCCTATTTTTTTGCCCAAATATGACCTGGATCTGATCTTTTTTAATGGCTGTCTGAACAACACAGATCAGATTTTGTCCAATCTGACCCAGGCCACTTGGCTATGTGGTCCTGAATCCGATACAAATCTGATCTTTTCAAATGCGACCTGTGTCTGAACGGCCAGGTCACATTTATCGGACCTGAACGTCATTAATACCAGACAAAGGTCACTATTCTGGGTCTTGCTACGCAGAAGCAGCAAGAAAAACAAAGACTATGGCAGATGATGATGCGGAGAGCAGTATTTATGTTTAAACATATTGAAAAGATTGAGTTTTTATGGTTTGAAAAGACTGCTAGATGTGCGCCGGCACTACCATCCATGTTTACTTCCGTAAAAATAGTGTACGCTGGTCTGTGACGTCATTGCACTTGCGTCGTATGACTGCAGTTCACACAGTAGATCACATACAAGTCGCATATATTTGCAAATATGAACGGCAAGAAAATCGGATTTCACAAAAAAATCTGAATTGAGTATCAAGGCCTGCAGTGTGAACATAGCCTTTAACTACTGATTTGAAGGAACAGGGCATTTATTACATAGCATTTTAGCAGGTTATTTTGAGATGCCAGAACACTTAAAATAAAGATATGAGGACTTTATTAAAATAAAAGAAAATATACATACCTGATCATCATGAAAACAAAAACATTACTTTACCAATTTGACAGCAAGACAATATGATAAGTGCTTCTACAGAAACCAAAATCAACTTATTTCAAGACATATTAGTTCTCATAAATCCAATAAAAGAATCACACAGGTCAGAGATTAAGAGTTACCTCTGAATGATTTGTCACCTCAATGCTGACTGAATCCCTGTATGATTAAAAGCACCAGAGGAAAACTGAATTACACTGTTTAACACTTACTCCTGGTGTGGTCCTCCAGTCTTTGTGAGCAGAGTGAGAACGAAGAACATGAAAATGACGAAAACTGCCAATCCCACCCAGAAGCCAATGACGATGGAGTCTGAAAGATAAGAGATAATAGTGAATTTGGCAGCTCATTTATTCTGTCTGCTTCTCCTGTTTATTGAATTGAGTTATCCCAGGAGGATTGGCCCTAGAGGCAAAATAAATAAATACATTAAAAAAGCAATAAATCAAAGTGAGCATTTCATTTTTCTTCTCCATAACTTGATTAGACAAGAATGGTTGACTTGTTTATTACCACAATGCCTCATTAAGATGTCTGATCATTAACTGAGAAGCAGAAGTAAAGTGCTGCATTAAATCTGTCTTGTAAATAATGCTACTGCAGGGGGCAGAGCAGGTCAGCCTTCGGAAAAAGCAATGACGATAATGGACCCCAATAAAGCCCTAATGAATCATAATTAAATAAAAGTGCACACAAAGCACACACTGGCTTAATGCGTGAGGAGGAAACGTAAAGACAAAACGAAATAAAGCTTTAAGAATAAATTCGGCTTACATCTGTGCGCTTTAAGCCCATCAAAAGACACGGGTTCCTCGTCGTCGTAATACTCATACTGCCAGATATAGTCGCTGCGTCGTGCGCTGACCTGGCTTCGGTTATGGAAGTCGGACATATCGAACCGATTATACAAACCTTAACAGCAAAAGACAAGAAAATTCAGTCCATTTAAAACAAAAATTGCCACACGAAAGCGGGTTTAGTAAGTCCATGAAGTTGGCAAAAGCGCATCACCAGGTATGCTGATCATTTCTTCGGTTTATAAAATAAAGCTTAACCCAACAAAAACAAATTTCACATAAACATAACATAAATATTCTGCACTCGGTAAAAAATAATTTACTAAGCATCGGTTTTAAAATAAAAATCCACGCCGTTACTCGATAACTCTGCCCACATCATGCCCTGAGAGTGACGGAGCAGCCTTTTGGAGAGCCTCTCAGTGCGCATCACCTTATCCAACAGCTGTGGGCTGCATGGTGGCGCACTCACTGCGAACCAAAGATGTTCCAGGAAATCACCTGATATCTTTCAATCAATGTAGTTCCTGTGCCGCTCTGAATAACGTTTTAGCATTAAAGCAATATAACATCATGATAGTGCATAAAAAAAAAAAAAAAAAAAAAAACTACAATTGCATTATTTTATATCCACTTTAACAGGACATGCAAATAAAAGATATATACATGTGTTTGTGTACTGTATGTTGTGGTACTAAAATTTTCTTGCTAAAGTGACAAACAAACAAAAATAAAAAAAATAATCAGTGAGTATTGGTTCAAAATAAATATTGTGTGGCTCTACAGTTAACCATTTTTCTTGTGGTCATAAATCAATGAGAGTAATTGGAGTTTACAAAGAAAATCGAAAGAGAATTTAATTTAAAAAAAAATTAAAGTTTTTGCAAGATGGTTTCATGCAGTGTTATTTATAATAAATAAACTTTTTTTAAATTTACTCATGAAGATGTGATTTTTAAATCTATTGGATTTAGTTATCTACTTTTTTTTCCCTCCAACACATTTTTATATTCTTAGTCATTAATGTAGTAGTGTAAGCTGTGGTGCAAGCTGTATTGTTTTCTTGTTCTATTTACCTATTCCTGAAAAGCCAAAAATGATTACATTTGTTATTTATAGGGACGTTTAGGATAATTCAGTTTCAGTTAATCTTTTTTTTTTTTTAAATAATTGAGACAGCTAATTATAATAATGGACTTTGATTAATTGATTGTCTTGCAACTGGCTTTCTTGCTGGTTAAAGACCCCAGCTCTGTCTATCTCAGTTGTTTTACTTTTGGGTACAACACTTTAACTGTGCTGCCTAGTGATGGTGGCACTTGTGTATGGCAGCTCCACTTTTGTCAGTGTGTCCCAGGGCAACTGTGGCTACAATGTGGCTTTCCACCATCAGTGGTTGAAAAAGTACAGTTGTGCTGAATGCAGTGCTCTGGAGTCCCTGACTTGAAAAGGTGCTACATGAGTACAGTCCAGTTACTAGTTATTTATTTATTTATTTTTTAACAATGAATGAGTTGTAATCCAAAAATAATCTTTTAATGACCTGTGTAACTACATGGATTGTTTGTGTGCATGCCTGGTTTAAAGGTTTTTAATGATTAACTTCAAATGTGACAGTTAAAAAAGGAGAATAAGAATAGGATTCACAGGCTAATTAAAGAGCTGTATTTTGTACAATTACACAAAAAGAACAATAAAAAAGAAGAAAACAGAATAAAAAAAATAAGAAAACAGAATAAGGCCAAGGGAATAGGACTACTGTCTTCATTAAGTTTTGCTTCTGCGATGAATTTTGCTGCTGGTAAAAGGCTGTTAACAAAGCTGGAACAACTTGTTTAGAATCAGTGCTTGCTCTGAAAAGCATAAAAGCCCGTGGCCTGGTTACTGAAAATGTTTTTTTAATGAATACAATGAAAAAAATCTTTTTAACACCCTCATTTTATCTTTTGAAGAACTCTGGCTCAATCATCAAGCTTAATATCAGCTACCACTTTACTTTTTTATGTCTTTTCAGGAGAGGTTTATTTTCCTCAGCTCTTCAGCATTAACACACTAATTTCCACATCATGTAAATTCAAATCAGCCCTGCAATCTTTAATCATTTTTGCTATGAGAGAGTAAAGCATGTGAGTGCCTAGACTGTCATTTCTTTGATAAAAATCATTTATTACCCCATTGTAATCTCTGCAGCTATTAAATGGGATCCAGACAGAACAATAAAGTTAGCATAGAATGTTGAGTTTAGAAATGTCTAACTAATTAATTAACTAATTAATTTATTCATTCATTAATTCATTTCCTGGGGGCTGGATAGGACGTCTGACTAGGAGATCAGTTTAAAAATGTTGCTCTAAGTGATGTTAGGGTGAGGGATGACAAACAGGCTACTCAAATGAATAAGAAAATTCCACAAAACAAGAGGCAGTTATGGATTAGCTTGTAAATTTAGGGCATTAGGGAAGCTTAGTTGGCCTTTACAATATATCTATCATTAAAGAAATATGATAATCAGGATGGCACTAGAACATTCACTACAAGGCTTTTTTTTTTTTTTTTTTTTAAAGCCTAAATGCTTCAAACCTTGGGTTGTTTGAGATCAATACAAGCTGGTTCATTTTCAAGGTTGACCATTTATAGAAAACACTTATTATTACTTTCATAAATTCACCAAGTTATATCACCATTTCCATTAACTGTATTGACCATATGTATTTTCTTTAGTAAAAAGAACCTTGTGAAAATATGTTTTAACATCACTATAAGCTCTTGATATCACTAAATGAAAGAAAATTAGAAAAAGCAGTTGTATTGAGATAAGTAAATATTGTTTAATATAAGGTTGTATAAGATGCAAAAGGAAAAGCAGTAATAATTCCTAAGATATTCTGCAATATCTAATATATGTGCTTCTTTGTATCAGTTCTATTTTTCGCTCAAATGGACTGAAAATGTAAATCAGAGCCTACCTTCATGTTTGATATTTACCAAACGTCAATAATGCATGTCTTAAAAATGTGTTCATCTCTAAAAGCTGTCCTTTTTTTGTTTGGTCTCGGTAAAATGTTATCCTGTTTCCTGAGTCGGTGAATGGCTTTGATCAGAAAGGAAGCATCTTGTACATACTGGTATTAAAATGATGAAATTCTTCAAAGACAGATAAGAGCTTGTTGCACCACTAAAATAAGTATATGTTCTAAATAAAAGACTCAAAAAAAATATTGAATGAATAAAAAAAAAGGCTTTTTCGTGACCAGCATGACAGTATTATGTATAGAGGAGTTTTGTACAGAGAAATTGATTTAGTTTTATTATTAAGGATGGAGCAGGGAAGGGAATTCGTAGAAAATATTACACATCATATCTGGAAATAAATCTGTCAGAAATTTGAAACGGTGCAGGATTTAAAAGAAGAATACCACTTATGCACCTTTATACTTGCATGTCATCCGGTTTTCTCTCACAGTACAAAATAGGTGTGTTATATTAATTGGCCACTCTAAATTGGGCAGTTCGGCTTGTCACTGTAATTGGTGAAAGCTTAGATGGTTTGAGTTTCTGTGTTGCATTAAATGAACTTGAGACCTGTCCGTGAGGTGGATAGGCATCAGCCCAAATTTAACCCTGCAAGGATTGAGATACTGATAATAGAAGGAATGCACTGCAATGTTTAACGCAAACAGATACATCATTTAAGCAGCTTATATCATGATCCTTAAAAAAAAAGAGCTTTTATGATTATTCTATTTTTATGCTCTTCAAACCATTGAAAATGTAATTTCTTGGTGGGATTAGGGTGGAGATGATATTTAAGGAACACAGATTAAGGGAAAGTGTGTGAGACTGTGATGTGTATTATATACACTGGCAAAACTACAGGTGAGATTTTCAATCAAATCAAGATATATAGCCTATAAATAAAGGCAAAAAAACAAAATTTTGGGTTTTCAGGCCCTACTTTCTGTTCTTTGACAAGGCATTTGACAAGCATTTTTTGAACAATAAAAACACTCATTGCACATTCCTTTTCAAAACTATTACTCTTAATACACAGGATACTCTTCTTCATCAAGGTCATGACCATAGGCTTTATTTTATGCATCTGTTGGTCCTATTTTATCTCTCAGAACATAGCAGCCCCAGTTGGCAGTATGATTGATGTGAAATCTCCTGATACAAAATGTATGTGACAATTGCCTATACCTCTGCAAGGGTGCCGGAAAAATGGAAAGACTTATAGTGGAACCAGGTAAAACCATAAACCAGGGGACCAGGGGCCAAAGGCGCACTAATGACCAAAGTACTTACTGTAACTCAGGTCTAAAAAAAGAAACACTTCTAAGGTGGAGGACACCAGAATCGGTTATTTCTTCGTATGCCAACATAATTTTTTACATTTTACATTTTATTGAAAAGAAGCTTTGTCTTAGCTGTGCTCCTCTAACCTACATCACAGCAACATCTAGTCACTGACTGGCTGTTGCTATGTGACTTGACAAAAAAGTTTAGATTATTTTAAATCAGTTGTTGCTCATGGACGTAGGTGTCACTGTCACTTTGCTGCAATTGTCATAATCGTGCAACTAACATCACTAAAAGTGTGTATGTTACATCCCATGACATTATTGCACTTTTGAACACCCCTCCACATAGCGATAACATGTACATCTCTCCATTCGGTCGCTGGAGTCCCATTTGGTGTGAACCATTATGACATATGTCCACAAAGTGTTGGTCTTGAGATGTTCTGAAAACAGATGGGGTAAAAAAAAATCACCTTTAACAGGAAGAAAACCTCCAGCAGAACCAGCGTCAGTGTAAGCGGCCATCTGGTGAGGCCGACTGGGGTTCAAGGAGACAGAAGCAGACATACAGAAAGAAGCAGAGATACAAAAGCTAACCGTTTACCAGCTCCACAGGCGGCCCCATCCAAGAAGGACATAGCCAGGCAGGCGAGCTCCAAGCCAGCTCCAATGTCACAGAGACAGAGGGACACTAATCAAGGGGAAGGTTCTGTTGAGGTGTGAGAGGATTAATGACTTTGTCTTTTTCAATGACATCATGGAGCTGTTTCCATTACACCAAAATGCAAACTGTTTGTTGATGTTGCAATCGATCAGCAGCGCTGTGATGTCTGTGTCAACTTAGTACTTGTGGAATGACAGGCGGTGAAGCAATGATGCACTAACTGCTTTATAGTTTGTATAAAAAAGGACAAGCACGAATCCTTGCGGTGCCCTGTTGATGCTGTTAAACGCAGGGGACATCGCTGGACCCTCCTGCCTATAGCTGAAATATGTTTGCTGTGACCATTGGATGTTGCATATTGTGAATGACACATAATGAAGCCTTGAGATAATGTCAGTTTGAATCAGTAGATGCATTTTGGTTTAAAGTAAGACCAGTTT